TGTTTATTTATTTATTTATTTATTTATTTATTTATTTATTTTTGTCTTTTTGAAGCAGGGTCTCCCTATAGCCCCAGCTGTCCTAGAACTCACTATGTAGACCAGACTGGCCTTGAACTCACAGAGATCCGCCTGCCTCTGCCTCCTAAGTGCTGGGACTACAGGCGTGCACCACCATGCCTGGCTGTATGTATGTATTTATGTCTTTGTGTATGTATCCACACGTGTGAGGCAGTATGCGAGGTCAAAAGACAACTTGCAAGTCAATTCTTCCCTTCCACTATGTGAGTGAGGGAGTGCAGGGTGTGGATGAGGGGCCATGAGGCTCAGAGGCAGATGGGAATCTCCAGGGATTGAACTCAGGTCCTCAGTCTCCATGGTAAGCTTCATTCCCACTGAGCCATCTCACCACCCCACTGGGAACTGATCTTTGTCTCTCTCAGCCTGACCTGGCTTCACTGTCCTACCCCACTAGGACAACTGCCCGCTAGTCAGAAATCCAGACCAGCGCAACTCTGACAATGACAAGTGGGGAGATGCATGTGACAACTGCCGGTCTCAGAAGAACGATGACCAGAAGGACACAGACCGGGATGGCCGGGGTGACACCTGTGATGATGACATTGATGGCGACCGTGAGCGTGGCTGGGGAGCAGAGGGGCAGGGGCTGGATGGTGGCCTGGCTTTGAGTACCCTGGGCATGACTGAGGTGGAGCAGGTGGGGAAACTGCAAGCCTTAGAGAGATGGGGATGGGAACAGTCAAAGAATGGGGGTGGTCCCTCCATCCTCAGCCCAGGGAGATACCCCTGGGTTCCTTGGTACCCAGTTTAGTAACCCAAGCTGGCTTCAAGTTGATGCACAGCTGGGGCTGGCCTTGAACTCCTGATCCTCCTGCTGCCACCTCCCAGATGCTTAGATGACAGGTGTGCAACATCACTTCCTGCTTGGCCATTCATTTATTTTTTAAAGAGATTTTGTTTTTATTACATTTTAATGTATCTAATCTGAATACATATGTGCATGTGGGCCATGACACATGTAGAGGTCAGAGAGCAACTTGCAGGAGTTTGTTCTCTCCTTCCACCATGTGGGTCCCAAGGATAGAACTCAGATGATCAGGCTTGGCGGCAAGGGCCTTTACCCACTGAGCCATCTCACTAGTACTGGCCATCCAGTCTTTAAGTCCCCATGGAGTTGGGCTCTATTCTGGGCCTGGTCTTTGTTTTGATGAAGTCATCCTAGCCTGGTCCCAATCTTAGGGTCCTGTCTTGTCCCTGATTTGCCCCAGGAATCCGCAATGCAGCTGACAACTGCCCCCGGGTGCCCAACTCGGACCAAAAGGACAGCGATGGTGATGGCGTTGGGGATGCCTGTGACAACTGCCCACAGAAGGACAACCTGGACCAGGTGGGCCACCCCCATATGAGCCCTAGGCTGGATGGCCAGGAAGCCTGGGTGGGGGTACTAGGCATGGGGACGACCTGGCTATAGAGCTAGGGGTAGGGATGGCTTCCGAGTCTCCAGGCCTAACTAACTGTGACCTTCCACTCCTCTTCCAGAGGGATGTGGACCATGACTTTGTGGGTGATGCCTGTGACAGCGACCAAGACCAGTAAGGAGACAGGGTGTCTGGGTGGTGCCTGATAAACCCTGCCTAGTGTTTCACTGTCCCACCTCCACATTCTAGGGATGGGGATGGACACCAGGATTCCCGGGACAACTGCCCCACAGTGCCCAACAGTGCCCAGCAGGACTCAGACCATGATAACCAGGGTGATGCCTGTGATGACGATGATGACAATGATGGAGTCCCTGACAGCAAGGACAACTGCCGCCTGGTGCCCAACCCTGGCCAAGAGGACTCAGACAGTATGGGGGTGCCTGTGGTGGTGGGACCAACAGCTGGTCTTGCATGTGGGCATGGCCTGACAGGTTTGTGTCCCACCTCCTCTCAGGGGACGGTGTGGGTGATGTGTGCCAGGGTGACTTTGATGCAGACAAGGTGGTAGACAAGATCGACGTGTGTCCTGAGAACGCCGAGGTCACTCTCACAGATTTCCGGGCCTTCCAGACAGTGGTGCTGGACCCCGAGGGTGATGCGCAGATTGATCCCAATTGGGTGGTGCTCAATCAGGTGGGGACAGGGCTGGAGGGGCAGTTTGGATAGGTTGGGCCCCACTCAGCAAGATCTCAGCCACTCACCACTGACCTGTCTGCCTCTGGCCTCATCAGGGAATGGAGATTGTGCAGACCATGAACAGTGACCCAGGCCTGGCTGTTGGTGAGTTGTGGGATGGGCCTAGTAGTGGAAGGGGGTGGCCATTGAGTGGCCATTGAGTGGACCTGGCAACAGAGGTCAGGGAGGGTTAGCCTGAATCTGGGAAGGGTAGTTCTGGGGGAAGGAGTCTGGAAGAGAGGGAGGCCAATGTTAGATTTAGGGTCATGGATGGGTGTGGCCATAGATGGGGTGTGGACACAGAGGCAGGCATGGCAACTGAGGCCTGCAGTTAGCCTGGACCAGGGAAGGGTGGGGCTTAGGGCTTGGGTGTGGTCATAGGGATGTGGCTGGGATTCAAGAAGTGCAGGCCTAGATGGGTTTTGTGGGGGCAGGCATTGGGTGGTTCTTGGCTTGGTCAGTAGTAGACCAGGGGTGTGGTCATTTGTGGGCATGGCCACAGAGGGTGTGGCTTCTGATGGGCAGAGGCTAACTAACCAGGATCTGAAGGGGTTGTGGTGTGGTTACGAGGGTGTGGTTGGGCTCTGGAGGGGCTGACTCTGGAGGGGTGTGGCTGACTCTGGAGGGGTGGAGCCTGGCTTGAAAGGCCCATTTCCCTTTCACCCCTCCACAGGTTACACGGCCTTCAACGGTGTAGACTTCGAGGGCACATTCCACGTGAACACCGCTACAGATGACGACTATGCGGGCTTCATCTTCGGCTACCAAGACAGCTCCAGTTTCTACGTGGTGATGTGGAAACAGATGGAACAGACATACTGGCAGGCCAACCCCTTCCGGGCTGTGGCTGAGCCGGGGATCCAGCTCAAGGTACAGGCCTGTGCTGTCTTGGTTACTGTACCCTCCACACGATACTCCCCCACTATTGCCCCCAAAGCTTTCACAGCCCTCCAGCATGTTCCACAGACCTCAAAGCTATCACCCCATATCCCAGGCTCCAGGTTCCCCCCCACAAGCCCCCAAATACTCAGTGGTTAAAGCACTTGCAGCACAAGCATGAAAATCAGGGTTCAGAGCCCCAGAACCCAAGTAAATGCTAGGTGGGCATGGCAGCCCACCTGTAACTGCCACCTTAGAAGGTGGAGACTAGGGGTCCCCAGGGCAAGCTGGCTAGGGAGACTAAGCATGGCAGCAAGATCTAGGTTTGATTGAGAGATCTTACCTCAGTAAACAAGGAAGAATTGAGGCGATTCTGACAGTAACCTCCTGCATCCATGTGTATGCACACAGGTGTACCCACACACATGCAAAAACATGCATACACAAACATGAAAAATGGAAGATGGTGAGACTGTCAAAAAAAAAAAAGGAAAAAAAACCTCCTTTATGACTCCCCCAACGTCTCTTTGGGACCCCAAACCTGTCACAGAGCCTTAAAACTTCTCAAAACACCCAAATCTTCCTACAGACTCCTTCAGCCTCTGGATAGCATTGAAAACCACTAAGTTCCCCTAAATCGCTGGGTGTGGGGGCACATGCCTTTAATCCCAGCACTCAGGAGGCAGAGGCAGGCAGATCTCTTCGAATTCAAGGCTAGCCAGCTGGGGCTATAGGGAGACTCTGTCTCAAAAAAAGACCAAAAAGAAAGCTCCCCTAGGTCTCTAGACCCCAGTTAATCCCGGAAGGAACTGCAATCTACAGGCCCCCACAACCCTCTCATACTTCCATGTCGTCTATGAGCCTCAGACCACCACCCTCCACTGTGGTCCATCTAGGAGCCCCAATTTGGTTTCTTCTACCACAGGGACCCCCTCCCCCCTATTCCTACCATCCATAGATCCTCATCCACTCTTCCAGGCAGGATCTGGGAGGGCTGAGGTACCCTGTGAGGCCTCTGACCTCCTTCTCCCCCTGGATGGTGGCAGGCTGTGAAGTCCTCCACAGGCCCTGGGGAGCAGCTCCGAAATGCGCTGTGGCATACAGGTGACACAGCGTCCCAGGTGCGGCTGCTGTGGAAAGACCCCCGAAATGTGGGCTGGAAGGATAAGACATCTTACCGCTGGTTTCTGCAGCACCGACCCCAAGTGGGTTACATCAGGTGTGAACCACCCTGCTGCTGGGAGACTGGGTTGGGACACAGGGCTCCTGGTCTGCTTATGATCCATAGCCTGAAGGTAGATGGTCCCTATTGGATCTGCTAGGAAGCCAGCACCTCTCAGCAGAACATTTGAAACCCATTCTCACAGGGGGAAACTGAGGCTGGGACCAGGGGCATCCCATACTCCAATGCCAGTCTGCATCTCTTGAATATGAGAGATGAAGGGGGACCAAGCATGGAGACCCCACCTCACTGGGTCCTGCTTTCAGGGTGCGATTCTATGAGGGTCCTGAGCTGGTGGCTGACAGCAACGTGGTGTTGGACACGACCATGCGCGGTGGCCGCCTGGGTGTCTTCTGCTTCTCTCAGGAGAATATCATCTGGGCTAACCTGCGCTACCGATGCAATGGTGAGCTGGGGGCCAGCAGGTGGGACTTTGAAGGCCCTGGAAGACCTTCTCACCCACCACCTTTCTCTCTATAGACACAATTCCCGAGGACTACGAGAGCCATCGGCTGCGGAGGGCCTAGGGACCTGGTGGGGCCCCTGCTGTCTGATGGACCATGGTGGCCTGAGCCATGGCTGTCTGGGGACCTGGCATCCCACATGGAGGGGTGGCAGACCTGGGGAGGAAGGGTCAGAGAGGCAAATAAAGAATGTGTGCGGGGGACTGGCTGGCTCTGATCTCTGCTGCGGGGGGCCTATGTGGATAGGCTCCGGAGGAGGTGCCTAGGTTGCTACCCTGGTCATTTAGAATCAGTCATGGGTGTGGAACCCTCTATAGATGAGCTGGGACCCCACCATTGGAATAGTCTAGGGCCTGGCTGGTGACTACTTGAAGTTTAAAGAGTCCCATGCTAGGCCATCTGGAGATGTGTCGGGGACATCCATGGGAGGACTAGGTTTCCCAGGTTAGGGGTTCAGGAAAAGAAGAGGCTGAGACAAAACCCTTTTTTTTTTTTTAAATTACATTTCATTACAAAGGACGCAAAAATACAAAGAAGCATCTGTGCCAGAAGGTAGGTGGGCAGCTGCACGTGCCCTGAGCTGCCTGACTCCTGCCTGCCCACCTGCCGCGGTGCCCGTCCGCAGCAGCGGAGCGCACATGCTGGGGGCAGAGCCAGCCTGGGCACAGGGGAAGGGATATGTGGGACCAGGCGTTTGCATATATCAATAGGGCCACCCAGCCCATGGTGGACAGTTTCTTACTAGGGAAGGAATAAGATGGGGCCTGAAGACCAAAACCAGCCTTGGATGCATGGCCAGCACAGCTCTGTCCCATGTCCCCCCTGTGGTGAGAAATGCTTGGCAGGCTGGGATGGGCTAGGCTGAGTCGTAGGAGATGGAGCAACAGTTCACCCCAACTAATGTGGTGTGTCCCTGGCTCAGGGAAAGGGGTGCTGAGGGCAGAAGATGTAGAAGTTGCAACTGGTGCCATCCTGGGGCTACTGTTGTCCCCACCCTGCCCAGGAGGCTGGGCCCCTGAACGCAGCAGGGTTGAGAAAGTGAAAGGAGGGAAAGTGAGGCTCAGGTGACCCCACGCTCTTGGGAGTACCCCAGCACCTAGGCTTGGGGGAGCAAGTCACTCCATCTCCTGCCTCTTGGGGAGGACATGACAGTGGCTATGATCAATGGGGTGGCAGACATTTGCCACACTGAAGGTCATGCCTGACCCCTGCCTGAGACAGAATGACCAAGGTCCCCAAATTACCCACCAAGAGATCCCTGCAAGAAGTTGGGGCTCCAGGAGCCAAAGGAAATGGGTTATAAAAAGGACCCTGTCTGCTACACTCTGGGCAGGGCTTAGGCTCCCTAAAGGACTATGTCTTGCCCTTCAGCAATCAGGACCATATGAGGAGGGCTCTGTACTACAGTTCCCTCACTGGAGACTTCCTAAGGAACAGGGACACTGTTGTACCACTGACCAGACCCCCTGACAAGGGCCTGCATGGCCTGTGCCCAATAGCTCCATCAGGACCCCAATCCTGCCAGCCTTGTTTGGATACAGAAAATTCAGAATCTATGTGAAACAGTCCCAGGCCTGCTATGATGAGGTCTGAGGGGCCACCGGCACCCTTTAAGGGATGGAAATTGATACAGGATGGTTACCCTGTTGGCAACCCCCCCACACCTTTTGTTGGCTCTTGACCTGCATGCCTGGGCAGTGATTCTGTGGCACCACACTGCATGGTGACACAGGCTTCACTAACCACCACCCCAGGTCTAAGAGTGCTCAAATACCCAGTGGGTGATAGAACATCATGGTGGGACCCAAGGGTAGGGGGACAAGACGTTTCTCTTAGAAATGGGCCTAGCCCCAGTTCCATCTGAAGTCTGGGGACACTGTGGGGGAAGAAACCACTGCCCCAGAGGCCTAGAAGGAGGGAAGGTAAACTGAGGCAGCTAGAGCATAGTGTTATCAAGACTGTCCGTTTTGATACTGTCCTGGGGAGAAGGAACAGACCTGAGGGGCTTGGCTGGAGCCAGTGGCACACCAATGGGGTGGGAGAATAAAGGCCCAGCCTGGCTCGAGTCTGACTCTGCAAGGGCTGAGAGTCCTGACCTGTTCCGAGAAAGCATGGACACAGGTGGAGGGTGTATGTTCACGCTATGGTGGCAGCTGCTCCCAGTGCAGCTCCAGTGACATCACAGTATGTTCATGTCACCAGCTGAGGGCCCAGTGCCTTGAGCTGTCACTTTGGGAAGTCTTGGCAATACAGAAGTAAAATCTAGAAAACAGAAAGAACCCTCCCCAGCAATCTCCTTATGATACCTGGCCAGGACCAGAGGGGGTGAACCCTTCCAGAACAGATGGCTGGCCCCTGGCTGGTCTGCTCAGGTCCCCATGCCTGCCTGGGATGCTGCAGCCTGGGCCCAGCATGTTTTCATCAGAGAACTTGGCAATTAACTGGAGTCGCAGTAACAAGTGTCACCTGTGTTCCTGGCTGTGGCCTGCTGAACACTAGGCCAGAGCTTGGGAGAGTCACCCAGCCATATCCCTTCTCCCAACTGCACACAGAACTTGGAAGAGCACAGGTGCCACCAGTGGCTGGATGGATAGAACAGGGCCATGAGGCTCCCTTGTGGTCAAATGCTGCTGGAAAATTGCATCCAGGCACGCCGTTTTATTAAGGCCGTTGGTTCAAAGTTCTACAAATAACTAATGGAATCAGAGCCTCCCAAGCACCTGTACATTCCGTTTGGGCTTTTTTGAGACAGGGTCTCATGTAGACTACGCTGGCCTTGACTTCCTAATCATTCTGCCTCCATCTCCAGAATGTTGGGATGACAGGCATGTGCCACCATACCTGCTACTATCTTCCTTTAATAATAAAAAAAGTCCCCACTATTTTCTCCATCACAGTAACAGAAAAGGCCTGCGACCTTAACAGGTAAACTGGACAGATGGATGCTGTGTTCCCAAGTCCAGAGTGTGGGACAGCAGAGGGCACAATGACAGAGCTTTCTCATGCGAATGGCCACCAGGTGGCTTGGGGAGGGCCAGGGAGGGTGCTGGGACGAGAACCAGCTCCCCATGATAGAGGCTCCCCACACCCTAGCACAGGTGGCAGGTAATATACCACGGAGAAACACCAAGCAGAAGGTGCCAGCCTGGTGGGCAGATGTGCATGACAGCATCAAGGTACAACTTGGGGTGGGTAGGACCAGAGCTTCAAAGACCAAAAGAGGCCCACAGAGGGCAAGCCAGACCCTGTCTCCGGTGACAGGGAGCCTCAGTAGAGAGAGGGCCAAGCAGTCACAAGTCACCTGCCACCCGCTCTGAGACCTGGTCAGCATTTGGGGATGCTCAAGGAGAACAGAGTTGTCTGGAGACCCCAAAGAAAGCCAAGGCCCATTCCCAGAGGCTGCCCTGTGTTTCTAACACATAGATATGTCCAGCCACCAGGACAGGGTTGTGTCCAGCCCTCAACCTGGTCCACCAGCTCTTTGGAGTTGTGACAAATGGGGGTGAGACCAAGTCTGGATGCAGTCTGGATACCTGGGCTTGCTGGTGCTTCAGGCTAAGGTTCCAGTTAGCTTTAAAAAAGAAAACAAGTCAAGGTGGGTCTGGGGTTAACACATGCTGTCAGGCAAGAGGCTGAGAGATCAGTTACCAAAATGCTAATACGAACTAAGAGAAAGCAAACAATACCAGGGCATCCACCCCCTGAGCCCCAGATCTTAAGTAACAGTATAGATGACCTCAGGACTAAGGAGGGACAAAAACAGGCGGGTGGCCTACAACCCTCCATTGCCCGGCACCATCACACTGGCAGCGGGCACAGGGTCAGGAGAGAGCAGAGGCAGGGGCACCAGCTGGTTAGGTGGACTCTGTCCACACCTCACAGGGCCACAGGTCGATTGTCGCGCTTTGAGCGCGCTCAGGAATATAAAAGACAACTGTCCAAATAGTGTTTATTTTGCTCTGGGTTGGCCCCTTTGCTCTGTTACCTTCTCCCTGGCATGGTGGGCATGCGTGACCTGACCAGGGTGGGGATGGCGGCGGAGAGGGACTGGAACAAAGGAAGGCAGTGACAGCTGAGAACAGTCGGTGGATGGTGCACCTTGGCCCTCTGGAGCACTCCCATGCCCATGTTCCAGCCTGCTCAACACACCACGTCCAGGAGTGACACTTTGGGCATCTTGGAAGGAGACCACAGCGGAGGTCTCATATCCCAGGAGAGGGCGAGGGAGTGCAGGGAGTGTCCATGAGGGCAGGGCACTTACACCTCCAAGACCAGCCTCACCCAAGGTAGATGATGGGCGGATGGGTGGATGGCCTGGCAGACAGTGGCCTCGCTCTGGGCATCGCAGGTGAACTGGGTGGAGGCTGGGGGGGGTTGCTGGGCGGCACTGCAAGCTTAGAACCACAAGCTTGGCCGTTGGCAAAGGAGGGCAGAGAGCTGCCATCCCCAGGCTCGGGGAGGTGCCATTGGGGACCACTGACCAGTGGCGGGTAGTGGGCATGGCTGCTCACAGGCGGTCCATCCGGAAGGTGTCCTCGGTGGCTGCATCAGTGAGGACCATGTCAGGGTCATTCAGCATGTGAAGTCCATCCAGAGTCAGGGGGTCAATCTTCAGTTCATCCAGAGGGAACTGATGGTCAGAGTCGAAGCTAACATCGTTGACCCCTGCCAGGGTGCTGGTCAGTTCTTTAGAGAGGCTAGGGGGGGACTCTCCTGTCACTGCAGGGCGGGGACAAATAACACAGCTGAGCTACCAGAAACTAGTGCACAGCTCTGTGATCTCACTGTGGGAACTGCCCTTTGGGGGGAACACCAGAGTATACAGAGGTGTTCTGAGTCCCATAATGGGAGGTACTGGTGTTGGGTGAGTAGAGGCCAGGACACCGCTCTGCCACCTCCAGAGCACAAGCTGACCCCACCTCAGAGCACAGACTAAGACTGGACATCTGCAAGGTGGCCTTTTGGTGATATCTCAATGTAACCTGTGGGGACCCACCACTCCTGACTCAAGGTCTGAGGTGCACATGTTGTGGCTAGGGTGAGGTACTCATTACAGGGACCCAACTCCTTCCGTTACCATTAGCTGAGGTCCCTGGCCTGTTTCCATACCTGGGAATGGATCTGAAAGCCCTTTTTCCCCTGGTCTTTTGGGGTGATCAGAGGCATAGGATTTATACACAGAGCCCAGACCCTGCAAATCAGGTGGTCTTGAGGAAAAAGCCTTGACCCTCGGCATGTGGGGATCCACAGGAGGGTGAGACTCTCCCCAACATCCCTGGCTTATATGAAAAGCATTTCTTTCATCAGGGCTTATAAGGAAAAGAGAGATGGCCATGGGGTATTTGAGGGGGGGTTCGGCATGCAAAGGTTGGCTCTGGGCTAGATGGTACAAGCTTTGGTCACTGCTCCTAGGTGTGCAGGTATAGGGCTCTGTCAGCAAATGACAGATAGACCCATGGGTTGAAGAGTGACCAGCTTGGTCCTAAGCAGAGGGAGGTGGATGCCCACTCCAGTGTGCAGTCGAGTCACCCTGGCCTGACATGAGGGCACCAGTTCATAGAGGGACTAGGAAACCAAAGTCCAGTAAGAGGAGATGGCTGGGGGGAGTGCAGAGTCCAGTGTGAAGAGACAGCTGGGGGGGTGCAGAGTCCCGTGTGAAGAGATGGCTGGGGGGGGCAGAGTCCAGTGTGAAGAGATGGCTGGGGGGGGCAGAGTCCCGTGTGAAGAGATGGCTGGGGGGCAGAGTCCCGTGTGAAGAGATGGCTGGGGGGCAGAGTCCCGTGTGAAGAGATGGCTGGGGGGCAGAGTCCCGTGTGAAGAGATGGCTGGGGGGCAGAGTCCCGTGTGAAGAGATGGCTGGGGGGCAGAGTCCCGTGTGAAGAGATGGCTGGGGGGCAGAGTCCCGTGTGAAGAGATGGCTGGGGGGCAGAGTCCCGTGTGAAGAGATGGCTGGGGGGCAGAGTCCCGTGTGAAGAGATGGCTGGGGGGCAGAGTCCCGTGTGAAGAGATGGCTGGGGGGCAGAGTCCCGTGTGAAGAGATGGCTGGGGGGCAGAGTCCCGTGTGAAGAGATGGCTGGGGGGCAGAGTCCCGTGTGAAGAGATGGCTGGGGGGCAGAGTCCCGTGTGAAGAGATGGCTGGGGGGCAGAGTCCCGTGTGAAGAGATGGCTGGGGGGCAGAGTCCCGTGTGAAGAGATGGCTGGGGGGCAGAGTCCCGTGTGAAGAGATGGCTGGGGGGCAGAGTCCCGTGTGAAGAGATGGCTGGGGGGCAGAGTCCCGTGTGAAGAGATGGCTGGGGGGCAGAGTCCCGTGTGAAGAGATGGCTGGGGGGCAGAGTCCCGTGTGAAGAGATGGCTGGGGGGCAGAGTCCCGTGTGAAGAGATGGCTGGGGGGCAGAGTCCCGTGTGAAGAGATGGCTGGGGGGCAGAGTCCCGTGTGAAGAGATGGCTGGGGGGCAGAGTCCCGTGTGAAGAGATGGCTGGGGGGCAGAGTCCCGTGTGAAGAGATGGCTGGGGGGCAGAGTCCCGTGTGAAGAGATGGCTGGGGGGCAGAGTCCCGTGTGAAGAGATGGCTGGGGGGCAGAGTCCCGTGTGAAGAGATGGCTGGGGGGCAGAGTCCCGTGTGAAGAGATGGCTGGGGGGCAGAGTCCCGTGTGAAGAGATGGCTGGGGGGCAGAGTCCCGTGTGAAGAGATGGCTGGGGGGCAGAGTCCCGTGTGAAGAGATGGCTGGGGGGCAGAGTCCCGTGTGAAGAGATGGCTGGGGGGCAGAGTCCCGTGTGAAGAGATGGCTGGGGGGCAGAGTCCCGTGTGAAGAGATGGCTGGGGGGCAGAGTCCCGTGTGAAGAGATGGCTGGGGGGCAGAGTCCCGTGTGAAGAGATGGCTGGGGGGCAGAGTCCCGTGTGAAGAGATGGCTGGGGGGCAGAGTCCCGTGTGAAGAGATGGCTGGGGGGCAGAGTCCCGTGTGAAGAGATGGCTGGGGGGCAGAGTCCCGTGTGAAGAGATGGCTGGGGGGCAGAGTCCCGTGTGAAGAGATGGCTGGGGGGCAGAGTCCCGTGTGAAGAGATGGCTGGGGGGGCAGAGTCCAGCGTGAGGGGATGGCTGGGGGGCCAGAGTCCAGCGTGAGGGGATGGCTGGGGGGCAGAGTCCAGCGTGAGGGGATGGCTGCGGGGGCCAGAGTCCAGTGTGAAGAGACTGCAGGGGGGCAGAGCTGATTATGAAGAGATGGGGGAATAGAGGAATCCACATCAAGTTCACAGGAAGGAGTAGGGCCATCCTGCACCCTTTGTCCACTGTCCAGCACAGAAACCCAGCTTCAGCCCTGTCACCCTGTCAGGCTGGGGGCTCCATGGGGACACTGCCTGTAACCTCCAGGCCACCGTGCCTACTGGCCTCACCGGTGAGAATGATGTTGGGGATGCCACTGTGGCCAGCATAGCCCAGTTGCTGCGGGTCCTGCAGGCTGCTGTGGCTCCCACTCAGATCCATCATGGCAGCCTGGGAGTAGTTGAGGGTGGCACCCGGGCTGTACAGGCTGCTGGAGCTGATGGAGTTTTCCATCATGTTGAACTGCTCCAGCTGTGAAGGGAAGCAGAGAAGGTTGTGAGGTCCATGGAGCAACCCTGGCTATGGCTGGGGCCTCCTCAGTTTCCCCCTACTCATGATGGATGTTGGATGAATGATGGAGTATGGGTGGGCAAGTGACCAGCTCCAGGTCACCACCAAACCCTCCCAGGCTTATCTCCACACAAAGCCAATGCAGTCCCCAACAGCCCCCCTTTCCACCCCTGCCTGGTGTTTGAGGACTGCCATCCCCCCCACCCTATGCCTTCAAGCTCCATTCTGCAGACAGCCATCTTTGCCAGGGCCTTGCCCCCACAGCCCAGTGGACAGCAGGATGGGGCGGAATAGCAAAGCCAAGGGAGGCCCGTGCCCTGCGAGGCCTGGGTACCGGCAAGCACCTGCTATGGTACCAGCCAGTGGTCCAGGCACCCGCTCACCTGGCGGGACAGAGCGTTAGCCTGCCTGGCTGTCATCTGCTGTTCATAGTACGCGTCCCCAAACACGCTGCCCAGGGTGGAAGTGTGCTGTGGACAGAAGAGAGGCCCACTGTGTTCGCAGCCAGGGGCCCAGCAGGGCTGCAAAGGTGCTCAGGAAACCATTGCCCCCAGCTACATAGGATGGAGACCCCTGGAGCCTCCAAGAGGGTGCAGAAGGCCATCGACATTTGTCTCGGATGACTGATCCTGGGGTGACTGTCTCTTCCCACACACAGTACCAATGCTCCCCAACGCACTGCCCCATCTCTTTCCCTTGAGCTTGGGTGTAGGAAACTCTACTTCCTTCACAGGAAGGCAGATTGTCGCTAATCCCAGAGCTTGAGAGCGGGGCCACATGGAGGGTATGCAGACATTATGTTTCGGATGGAATGTGCGTTGGGGGAGACAGGGCACAAGCCACACGGTCTTGACACCATGATGCATAGGGCTGGCCATCAGCTGAGCAAGCACAGGACACAGGGACAGGTCTCCACCTGGGACTCCCTACTTTTAAGACCATGGGACACATCCCTATTACACTCTAGTCTACTAGCCAAAGCCAGCTGAACTGCCAAAGGCAGGGGACGAGGCCACGGGAGGACTAGAAGGGGATACACAAAGGATGGGTGGAGGGAGCAGTTGGGGGACTGGCTGGGACATGGAAGTGTATCTTGGGGACAGATGGCTTTGAGTATGGCCAAGTTTATAGCCACGGCACCTGAGTAGTTCCAGATAGACCTTGTGGCAACCACAGACCTGAAGGGTTATTGAGAGTGGGGACCCATTTTCTCCTTGACAGGGTGGCTGGAGGAAGTCACCAGACCTCAGCCACTCCCAAGTGAAGTCCAGTATGCCCAGGTGCATTTGGGACCCAATTCCCTGGGCTCCCTCTCCTCAGCTCCCCATCTGAGCTTCATCTAGAATGATCAGAAAGGGGAGAGACCCCTACTTGGTCAAAGCCCTTACAGTGCCTTGATCCCCCACAGCCTCGCCATCAGCTAAAGGTCTCATCTCAGGGTGGAGGCAGCCTATTTTGGGGTGATATGGGGGACTGGGCTTCTAAGATGGCTGATCCTGTCATCATGGCCTTGGACTCAAGAGAGGTAGGTGCCTGAATTCCAGCTGAGGCCCAGGGCCTGGGGGTGGGGGGGACGGCAGAGGTGACAGCCAGTGGGGTGCGGATGTGGAGGGTACAGGCAGGGTAAGTGGACCAGAGAAACACGGCAGAAAGCCACCACACAGGCATCTCTGGGTCCTCAGAGGATGTCATGACTCCAGTCTCCTGCAGGGGCCAAATATCCCGAGTCCTGTGAGCCACCTGTTTTCCACATCAGCACAAAACAGACACCAGACACACAGAGGTGGGCTCAAGGAGACAAGGCGGGCTCTTGTGACTGGGCTAGACCAACCTGCTTCCATTTGGGAGCAAAGAACTTTATGGTAACTCTCCAGACAAGGGTGCCTTGGACTGCTACCCCATCTTGGTTCCTGCCCCACACCGGTATCACCAGAACCCAAGAGTTCAGGGTGGGTGGACTGAGAGGTACTGCCACCAGATGGACACCAGACAGGCTTCACAGTCACTGCACAAGGGTGGCAGGCAGGATTCTGGGTAGATGAGCCAACCACAGGAGCTCATATCATCTTTGTCCCTTGGGGCAAAGCAGCCTGGCATTCCAGGGTGCTCCTGCTGGCTCTAGCCTAGAAGGATGCTGCATCCTTCCCTTGACCTCATCAGGGATGGAGATGACTCTGGACACTGCAGTGGCTTCAGTTTGCTGACATTTTGGGGCGGGGTGGCCCCAGGATGGTGGAGGCCCCTGAGGGAAGTTCTTGATGACAGAGGCCACACCTCCACCCCTGAACTAAGTGCAGACAGAATTAACAAAACCAGGCCGCAGGGAGAAGCAGCTGGAAACTTCCTCAGGCAGAATGGGGCCAAGGGAGGGCTAAGAACTAGGCCTAATGGGGGCCTCTCTGAGATCTGGGGCTCCACTGCACCTACTTGGCAGAAAAACTGGGTCTGGCTGGGTGTGTTAGCACATGATTGTCATGTGGGAGAGCACTTGGGAGGGTGAGGTAGGAGGATTCAGAGTTCAAGGCCAGCCTGGGCTACATAGTGAGTTAGAGGATAGCTTCTGCTACATGAGACCCTGGTTTCAAACAAAAAAAAAACAAAAACAACAAAAATACAACAACCCAAATGAGACAAAATCCAGTCTACCAGATGAAGTAACACCTGCCTGACACCCAGGGACTGGGGTGGACAGAGAGACAGGGAAGCCAACCACAAGGTGGCTGGCCACCTCAGCTGTGCCCCAAACATGCTTGCCCTTAACTCTCAGGATGAAGACCCTTGTTCCCTCCAAGCCATAAGGTTGGCAGCTTTGAGGCCAGAGCTAACACTGATGTGACTAACTTTAGAGCCCTGGCAGAGTCCACTGAGGAAGTCCACATCCAACCCTCTTGCCTGTGCAGCCTGCCTGATAGTTGCACGGTCCTGCTCTGATGAAGAGAATGGATGGCATGGAGCGGGTGAGACACAGGTAGGGCATGGAGAACAGGAGGAGAAGCGAGGCAGCACCGGGTTGGGGGAGGGGCCCTTACTTGCGGGGAGCTGCCTGGGGAGAAGCCTTGATTGGAGACTGGAGAAGTGGGAGACTGGTTGGCGGGTGACCCAGTGCTCGTGCGGTACTGCAGAGCTGGTGCCTGTGACGACAGACGGGTCAGGGCACGGTTGGCTCCTGCCAGCTTGATGCCTCCAAGATGGGCACCTTAGAGGCGATGAGATTCCTAAGGGCCCCAAGTGCCTAGCCTGAGCTCTGAGGGGAGGGGGGCACCTGCCTGCAGACCTGGCTTCCAGGAGGGTTAGGGAGGCCCAGCTCAGAGTCTTGGTGGGGGTTCCTGGGAACACCCAGTGTCTGATGCTCTGCCCTGACCCTGTTCAAAGCCAATGGTAGGGGACACAGCCCCCCAAACACTGTGTACACACACCTGCACACCCACCCTGACACATGTGCTTACCCCTCATCCACACATCCCACATACATGCCCCAGGAACACAAGTACACACCCCTCAGTCAAATACGCCAAGAACACATGTGAACACCAATCATCCACACACCCGACAAACACACATGCACACACCATTCACCTGCTCACACATGCTCCATGAATACACCTCTCCACTCATGAACACACATACACAACCCACAAACACATACATCCCATCAACACACATCCACTCATGAACATATGTGCGTAAATACCCCACAGACATATGCATATAATTCATCCAAGAACAGAGGTGACACACTCTACCCATAAACACACATGCACATGTACTCCACAAACACACATGCACATTCCATTCACCTGCCTACACCACTGCAGACAGGCAGACATATTACCCACTAGACCAGCAGGTGTAAATACCCATGGACATGACCACACCTACATGGCACAGTTCTGCATCCCCATACACTCAAACATGTGTACTCACCCATGTGATGACATGCCTACACAGTGTAGTGCAGACACTACATGCACAGACACACACACCCCCATCCATGTCCACCCCCCTACTGTACACAGGGCAGGGCAGGGGCAGTCCGGGTTGGCAGATGGGAGTGGCCTTCTGCCTTGACTCCCCTCAGCTATGAGTCCTGGCAGGGCCACTGTTCTCTGGTCCCAAGTCTGCAGCAGAACACTGAGCCATCTTGGGGTGGGGAAAACTGCAGTCAGCACTCGGCAGAGTCCTGCATCTCTCGGACAAGCCTGCCTAGGCCATACCACCAGAGACACTGAGAAGCAGCCACCCCATTGCCTGCTCTAGGCATTGTCAAGGATCAGAGTCCTTGGAGACAGGCTATGTGAGGTAAGACCTGAACTCAGAACTCACTATGGTCACCCTTGCCCACAGACTGTGCTGAGTCGCTACTTTTGGCTCAAGCGCCCTGTACCCCAAGTCCATGCATGGGAACTTGCATTTGCCTCCCCTCCCCCAAGACCAGGGCTCAGGGCCACTTAGCAGTATGGTTTCCTATCTGCTGTGTCACCTGCCCAGGTCAATGGGGAAGGCTCAGTGTCCTCAAATAAGTCCCCTCCACATGGCCCAATACAGTTGGGACCTACTACCCCCATACCCAGCAAGGCATGGAGGTACAGGGCTTAAAATGGTCCAGCACCCATGGCCCTCAACCTGGCCCTGGCCCCCGGGAGCCCCCTGGCCCCTGATGTGCAGGGTCCTCTCTCTCCTCCTGTACCTCGGTCCAACCCTGTGTCCTTGGTTTCAGCAAGTCTCTGCCCTGACAGCACTAGGTTACTCCACCCCTGGCTTCAGGGGCCATGTGTGTAGGCATCAATTTACCCAGTTGTACATGTGTAACTGCCTCAGCGCAAATGATCTGAACAGTAACCCCATGAGTGTCAACCTGAGAGTGGCACCTGCTATTATTTTCCAGTCTGGCTGGGGTGGCCTCTGTCACCCAGGGCTCCTCTTCCCCAGCCCCCCCAGCCAGTGCCCGGGGACCCTGGCTCAGGCTTACCGAAGCAACATCAATCCCCATGGGTGGCTGGCCTGGGTTCTCTGGGGGGGACTGGGGAAGAGAGGACGGTACCGTGACTGCTGGCCCCCGAGTCAGGCTGGCACTGGGCAGCAGTGGGCCGCCCTGGGGGAGTCCCACGGACACCTGTTGGGGCGGCTGTTGCTGCTGGGACACAGGTGGAGGCGGCGGTGGTGGCTGGGGCTGTGGTGGAGGTTGCTGAGAGCCAGCCTGCGTGAAGAAGGCGTAGGGCAATTGCTGCTCCAGAGACAGTGCATCCATAGCCACAGCCTGTGGAGGAGAGGGTCAGAGGGCAGGGCAGCAGTGGCAGGGGCAGGAGCCACGTGTGTCTGAACCCCAGCGCCTGTATTCCTGAGAAGCCACATGCACTAAGGGTGGACCTCACCTAGAAAGCTAAGAATATGGCAAAATTCTCTTATAGGGCTTCAAAAATAAATATAAAGAGTGACTCAGGTATAATGGCCCACACCTGTCATTCCAAAAGGATCAGGAGTTCAAGGCCATCCTTGGCTACACAGTGAGTTAGATGGCACCCTGGGCTGCATGAGCCTTGTCTCAAAAAAGAAAAAGAAAAACACAAAACCAAAATATGTATCTCTTAAAAAGCACCAATTTGTGCAGTTTCTCCCTTAAAATTTGCTACTAAGAAGTAAAAACAGGTCTGTTCTCCAGCTCCCACAGGCCAGGGGGAATGACAGAGCTGCTGGATTCCCATCTGCCTTCCCGCCCCCTTGTCCTCACACCTGAGTGATGGGTGACAGCGGGGAGAGGGTGGGTGACATCTGCTGGGCCTGCTGCCGCCTGGCCTCTGTGCTGAGGGACAGGGGGCTGACGACGGTTGGCCGGTGCTGCGGAGAGGAGCCTGGGGTGTTCATACCTACAAGAGAAGGGTGCTAAGGACAGGTGGCCACAGGCACAGGCCAGCCTGGCTGCATAAGAGAAAGCCAGTGGGTGCTGCCCATGGTCAAACCCAGATAGCCTTCCTCCTGGCCCCATCTGTGTTCACCCTGGGTCCCCAGCCCAGTTTAGTTGCTTTCTGGTTGACTTTAGCAGCCTTCCAAGAGGGGCCTGCCCTACAAGCACAACCAATCAGCAAAGCATGTGACTGTCCCCATGTAACCAATCAGATTCTGTCTTGGAATTTTGGATGGAATTTCAGAAAGTGCTGCTTGGCAGTTGTGGGTGTGGTTGCTACACCAGGCAATGAGACCCAGCAAGCTGGTGACAAGGACACAGGTGGCATCAGAGAATGGTAGACCTCTCTTTTTGCCTTTTAAATTTTGATTGACTCTTTTAAAAATAATTTGGGCTGGAGAGATGGCTCAGTGGTTAAGAACACCTGCTGTTCTTCCAGAAGACCTGGGTTCAATCCCCAGTACCCACAAGGCGGTTAATAACCATCTATAACTTCAGTTTTAGGGGAATCCAACATGCTCTTCTGGCCTCTGAGGGCACTGCACACATGTGGTGCACTTACATACATACATGCAAAACACTCATACACATAAAATAAAAATAATAAGCTGGGCGTGGTGGTGCACGCCTTTAATCCCAGCACTCTGGAGGCAGAGGCAGGCAGATCTCTGTGAGCTCAAGGCCAGCTTGGTCTACATAGCCAGTTCCAGACCAGCTGGGGCTACAGGGAGACTCTGTCTCAAAACGGTCCCCCCCAAAATAATATTTTTAAAAGTTTTTATTTATGCATATAAGTGCACCTGTGTAATGCCTGTGGAGGCCAGAAGGGGGCATCAAATCCCCTGGAACTGGAGTTACAGATGGTTGTTAGCTGCCATGTGAGTGCTGGGAACCAAACCCAGGTCCTCTGCAAGAGCAACCAGTGCTCTTAACCTCTGAGTCATTTCTCTAGACCGATTTACTCTTTGTTGTTCTTTTTTGAGACAGGGGCTCCCTGTAGCCCTGGCTGGTCTGGACTTGCTATGTAGACCAGGCTGGCCTTGATCTCACAGAGATCTACCTGCTTCTGCCTCCCAAGTGCTAGGACTAAAGGTGTGCACCACCAATGGCCAGCCCAATTTATTCTTTTGAGACAAATCTCATGTAGCCCAGGGTGGTCTCAATCTGGCTATGGAACTGAAGACGACCTTGAGTTCGAGTCGCCTGCCTGGGATGACAGGTATAAACCAGACCCATTTACGCTATGCTGGAGATGGAACCCAGCGCTCTGTGCATGTTAGGCAGGCATTCAATGCACTGAACTATGGGGGTGCACACCGAGTGGTCCCTGGGGAGATGACAGGTCCACAGCCTTTTTGCCTTGGGCAGCTGTCTGTGTGCTGTACCTGCACTTCTGGAGTGCTGGCTCCACTTGGGCCCAGTACTGGGCTGGGGTGGCACCATCCACTGCCCCTGCAGCATGGCCTGGGATCTGCCATGAAGGACTGTCAACAGTCCTGGCAGAGGGTCTGAGAGGGCACTAAGTCAGGACTCTGGGTCAGTGCCTTGTCTGAGAGCTCTTTCCTGTATCTCCTGGGGCTAAAAAATGCCATCTTCTCAGGTTGGGAGTAGGCCTAAGGGCACAGTGATGACCAGAAGCCAGAGCTAAGAATATTTAAGAAGTAGGCTGGGTGTGGTGGCACACGCCTTTAATCCCAGCACTTGGGAGGCGGAGGCAGAGGCAGGCAGATCTCTTGTGAGTTTGAGGCCAGCCTGGTCTACAAGGTGAACTCCAGGCCAGTTGGAGCTACAGGGAGACCTTGTCTCAAAAAACACAACAAAACAAAACAAAAAAAACCAAGTAGATGTAGAGGGCTTGGGCTGGGCTCTTATAGCTCATTTGGTAGAGCACCTTCCTAGCATCCACAAGGTCCTGGGTTCCATCCCCAGTACCACATATATATAGTAGTACATGCCTGTCATCCACTCAGGAGGTGGAGGCAGGAGGATCAGGAGTTTAAGTTCATTCTTGACTACATAGTGAATGTGAGGCCAGCCTAGGCCACATAAGGCCCTGTCTCCAAAAAACAAAATAAATTTAAAAGAAAAATTAGAAGTGGGGCAGACAGCCATGTAGGATTTAAGGCAAAACCAACACCAAAACCCACAAACAAACAAACAGGCTTTTTTTCTCTTTTTGAGACAGAGTGTCACAAGGTAGCCCAGGCTGGCCTGGAACTTACTCTGATCCTCCTGCCTCAGTCTCCTGAGATCTGGGATGACAGGTACAAAACGCATGCTGGCTTCATTTTTCTTTGAGTGGTTCCTGTTTTATTTTATTTTTTTTGAGACAGGTCTCCCTGTAGCCCCAACTGGCCTTGAACTCACAGAGATCAGCCTGCCTCTGCCTCCTGAGTGCTGGGATTAAAGGTGTGTGCCACCATGCCTGGTTGGTTTTGGTTTTTTGTTTTTATAGGGTTTCCCTGTGTTGCCCCAGCTGGCCTGGAACTTGATATTCTTTTTTTTTGGGGGGGGGGCTTTTTGAGACAGGGTCTCCCTGTAGCTCCAGCTGTCCTGGAACTCACTATATAGACCAGGCTGGCCGTGAACTCACAGAGCTCTGCCTGCCTCTGCAGGATTAAAGGCGTGCGCCACCACACTTGGCTAGTTTTTAAACATGTATTCAAAGTAACTAATGGGCACCCACATGGTGGGTCTCAGGAAGCACTGGCATGCTAATCCCCTGGTCCTGCACACAAGGGCATTTCTAATCCTCTGCTGAGCAGCAGCCACACCCAGAAAGGCCAGCTGGTGAGCACACTGCATGGACAGCCTGCTGTCTGGTCCCTCTGCCCAATCTGAATCACATTTGGAGCAGAGCCAGCTGAAGGGGAAGTCTGAGGTTGGAGGCTGAGCTGCTGGGAAGGGTGGGCCAGACTGCATGGCAGTGACCCCTGGTATATAGACCTGCTGATGGGGCAAGTGGGTCTTTGAAGTAGAGCCAGGGAAGACACTGGAGCTACCCTCCTGCCCACTGGCAGGCAGGCAGGGCATTGGTCTGGGCATCAGTCTCTAGGCCCATCTCCCTCCGAGGGGCTGGTGGTGGGGGTGGGAAGCGTTTGAGTGTGCCAGGGTCTGGCAGCTCAGACTGATTTAAAAGGCACCTAGAAAATGCAGATGCTATGAAGGGGAGCAACTAGTTCTTCAACAACCACATGTATGTATTACAGGGCTGGGGTCCCCCACCCTGCCCAGCAACAGCCTCACTTAAGCTATTTTCTTGTTTACACTAGGTGGGCTGGAAGTGCAGTTGCAGGTGGGGGCAGGTGGGGGGTTCTGGAGGGGAGGCATAGAGAGATGTGGGAGAGATGCTGGGAAACAGCGGCTCCTGTGTGGGGCTGAGGCCGTCCATCTGCCTGCCTGGACCTTTTGCTAAGTTTGGGGTTCCTTTTCTCCTCATTCTTCCACTTTCTGGACCCTCCCTGGTGTCTTGGATCTGGCAGTTGGGCTGTGAGGGACTCAACAGCTCGGACATTCTCAGACCGGGTCCTCCTCTTCTGAGTCCTGACCCCATCTGCTCATCTAAGAGCTCAGGACAGGAACTGGGGAGGTGACTGGCCACTCAGTGCTAGAGGGCTCGCTGAGCAAGTGCAGGGCCCTGACTTCTCACCAGCACCTGAGGACACATGAAACCCTAAATCTGGAAGTAAAGACACCACAGGGATACTTGCTGCACCCCACCTCCTCTCCCACCTGATATGTTGGCATCTGAGGGTCCCTGGTCTCAACTTCCTGTATCAGTCAGGCCTCCAGGCCAGGCACTGGATTCAAAGCCCCATCTGAGGCCCTGACCCCCAGGACCCTTGTACAGTCCTTCACTGTGGGTCCGAATAGAAACTTAAATTGGAGCTCACTGGGAGGTCTGTCACCCATATCCTCAACATACCCATCCCACCTGTCCTAGCCTGTGTGTGAAACCTACATCCACAAAGGCTTCCAGGGTTTGCCACGTCGCAGCAGGACATGGGTGACGCAGACCCATCCCAAGGGAGGCTGGAGACCAAGGAAAGAGTGCTGGCTGAGTTGCCAAGCTCTGCAGTGAGTAGACAGGCAGGTGAGGAGGGGCCTGCATCCAGGCAGCATGCACAAAGACCCTGGGGTTAGCAGGTGCAGCTGTGAGGTCAGGGTTGGGAGATGGGGGTCAGAGGATGGGGAGTATCAGCTCTCTCAGGTGGGACCCGGCAGAACACATCAAATCCCCAGGAAAGGTGGGGTGACAAGTGCGGAGGAGAAGAAGGTAGAGCCGGGTTAGTCTCAGGTGACTGGTGGACAGAAAAGAGGGCACAGCCAGTCCTTAGAAGCCAGGAGAGACTGGGATAGGCAAATGTGGAGCTCTCCCAGGAACCAGGCTGAGAGAGAACCAAGCATTAGAAAGCTGAGAGAAGGGCCAGATCATACTGACACTTCACCTCACACCGTCTAGGGCACCCCTCCTGAGCCCCAGCCTCCCTGAAGCCCTAATGTTGAGAACACTAAAGCCTGATCCATGAGGCACTGCACACCCTCCACCCCGGGGCCCTGGTGCAGCCTGTGCTAGAGCCTGGGATGCCTAGTGAGGCTGGGGTGGACACCACCCAGAGAAGTTGCTACGCTAATGCCTGTTGGGAATGAGGTGGCACAGGGCCTTACCCTGGCCCGTGCTGCTGATGCCCAGGTGTGCCAGGTTGCCTGTGCTGCTGGAGCTGCTCAGCGCAGGGAACGGGGGCTCCTCAGGGTCCAGCGGTGTCGGGAGCGGGGAGGGAAAGTGGATGTTGGTGAGGTCAGGCAAGGATCCGCCTGTGTTGTGGGTGCTGGGAATCAGGGCTGCCGTGTTCTCTTGGTCTGCAGATGGGAAGATGCTGAAAGAGGTTGGGGTGGGTGGGGCGTGAGTTCTGGGGCCAGAGACTGGGGTCAGTATGCCACCCAGGGTGCTTGGGAGATCAGTGGGTACAAAAGTGACACCCTCAATAAACTACTGAAAGAGGTTGGGGTGGGCGGGGAGTGAGTTCTGGGGCTGGAGACTGGGGTCAGTATGCCACCCAGGGTGCTTGGGGGATCAGTGGGTACAAAAATGACACCCTCAATAAACCACTGCCATGCTCACAAAGGGGCACAGGGGCCATCTTTGCCATCCTGAGTGACAAGGGCCAGAATTTCCTGGGCACCCACAGGTGGTATATTCAGTGTCCTTTCGTCAGCAGGTGCAGGCTTGGGGGAGGGAACCCCTGGGGACCAGAGGATGAGGGGAGCCCCAAGCTGAGACTTACTTGATTCCGGGGACCTCACAGGACTTGGGCCTCGAACCCGTCTGAAAGAGACCACAGGCAGATGCTGGGCAGCACACATGGCCACCTCTGTGTGCTAAATCCTGTCTGCCCTGTCTTCCCCTTCCTCCCTCCCATACCTCCCTTCCCTATGGGAGGCCAGACAGACCTATTCAAGAGGATCAACAGCCATGGGGTATGGCATGCACACAGGGAGCCCAGGGTAGAGCCAGGAAGCTGTGAGGATGGGTCTCTGGCCCCTGTGGCTGCCCTTGGGGGTGGTCACAAGAGACATGTTAGAGAGCGGTTGGAGGATCTTTAGGTACCCCTGTGAGAAGCCGAGTCCCCAGTGGCTACAGTAGCCCTCCCCACCTAGGAAGACTGGAGAGTCAAAAGTCAGTCACCACCCCAGTGACAAGATCATGAGGGGCCTTCAAAGCTGCAGTAGTGGGGAGTCCTTGTCCCCTCCCCCCAAGCCAGAGCTCTTGCTGCCCAATGGTCTGGCCCCTGCAGGGTGGTAGCAGGAGACCCTGAGAACAGAGAAGGGACACTTTCTGACTTCTGCAGGCAGATGGAACAACCTCTGAATTCCTGATCCTCTAGGGGTCCGAGCTGCAGGCTAAAGCATTAAGCAGAGGGTTACAGGGGAGGCTGGCCACCAGGGCAGGAATACCTGACATGCAGGCGGGCAGTGACTGTACCTCCTACATGTGGCTTGCAGCACACTGAGCAGGGAACACTGACAGAAAGGGTTTGATATTGGCCAGAGCCTCCCTAAAGCCCAGAGTAAACACTGTTTTTGTTAATGGGATTCCTGCTGGGCTCAGATAGATTTGAAAAGCAGTCCAGGGTTAGTGAGATGGCTCAGCAGGCAAGGGAGGTTGTCACCAAGGATGATGACCTGAGTTTGATTCCCAGGATCCACATGGTGGGAGGAGAGAACCAACTCTGCTAATTGTCCTCTGACTCCACATGTGCCCCGGTACATGTGCACACACATACCCAACAAATAAATAAAAATGTAATTAAAAAAAAAAAAAGCATTCCATGGATACGGGGATCTTAATAGATTTCTACATGAAAAAGGTGCCAAGGCTTCCATCTCCTCCTCAGGGGCATGCTATTCATTCATTCATTCATTCATTCATTCATTCGTTCGTTTTTCTCAAGCAAGTTCTCATGTAGCCCAGGCTGGCTCCAACTCCTGATCCTCCTGATCATCTCTTCTAAAAGATGCCAGGAGAGTGCCAGCACATCTGGCTCACACTAGGCATCATGGCTTTCTTGAGCAATACCACTACATCCAGCTGTGACATCCAGCTATGCAAATCAGTCACATCCACCCACCTTTCTGATACTGGACCTATAAGGAAGTTTGCAGTTAGCTAGGCATAATGGCACATGCCTTTAATCCCAGCACTCAGGAGGCAGAGGTTAGCCTGATCTACATAGAGTTCCAGGCCAGCTGGGGCTACAAGGAGACCCTGTCTCAAAAAGACCAAAAAAGAAAGTTTGAAATTGTGCTTGAATGGTTACAGTTTTTTCCTTCCTTATGTGTTGGGGGTGGAAACCACACTTTCCGCAAGCAAGCTACCTCTGAGTCATGCCCTCAGCCCCTCACTGGGGGATTCTAGGGAAGGCTCTACCCCTGAGCCACACCCCCAGCCTTTTATTTTTTTTTTAATATTTTATTATTTTTATTTTATGTGTATGTGTGTATTACCTGCATGTAGATAAGTGCACCCGTGTCATGTAATGCCCGCGGAGGACAGAATAGGCTGTCGGATCCCCTGGAACTGGAGTTACAGACAGCTGTTAGCTGCCATATGGGTGCTGGGATTCGAACCTGGGTCTTCTGCAAGAACAACCAGTGTTCTTAACTGCTAAGCCATCTCTCCAGTCCCAATTTGTTTTCATTTATTTGTGTGTTCATATGTGTGAAGGGCATGGGCATGAATGTACCACAGCACATGTGTGGCAGTCGGAGGACAATGTGCAGGAGTCAGTTGTCTCCTTTTACCATGTTTGTGCTAGACATGGGAATAATGTCACCAGAACTGATGGCAAGTGCCTGCTGAGCCATCTCACTGCCTCTTTTTCTACATTTATTTTTATTATTTTTTAAAGAGCTCTGGGTTTATTTTTGATACATTTCTGGTAACTGAATATGGTTATTTTCTCCTAGTGAATGTCTTTTGTTTTGTTTTTAGGCACCACAGTCCACAGACCCACTGCTGGCTGGACACCCGTTTTTTTAAAAAAATATTTTATTTAGCATTTTTATTTTATGTTTATCAGGGTATTGTCTGCATGTACGTAAGTGCACCCATGTCACACAATGCCTGTGGAGGTCAGAAGATGGTGTTAGATCCCCTGGAACTGGAGTCAAGGACAGTTATTAGCTGCCATGTGGATGCTGGGAACCAAACCCAGGTTCTCTGCAAGAGCAGCCAGTCTCTTAACTGATGAGCCATCTTTCTAGCCCCTACCTTTTATTTCGATACAAGACCTTGCTCTATGGCCATGAAACTCTGATCCACCTGCCTCAGCCAGGATCCTGAGAGCTGGGGTCACAGGCTGTGCCCTTGAGAGCTGGGATGAGCATTCATGTTGATCCTCTATGCCAGCCTGATCAGCCAGGGACTTTAGTTCTTTGAGCAGTTTCCCGCAAGTTTAGTAGGTTAATGTCAAAGCTTGGACATGGGTTTGGCTGAGCTGGGCGCCCACCTTGGGAAGGATGGAGCTGCCCTGGCAGGCCATCTGGCCATGTGTTTGCATGCTTTGAAGAGCAGGAAGAATATAGGCTGGCCTGCAGCTGTTCTTACCTTCTTGGAGTCCCATGCCTGCTTGGAGAGGCTCTTGTCTGCCTCAGATGCAGTCTCCTCCATTCCTGGGACAGTTAGTAGTAAGACTGGGGGAAGAGGGGTCAGTCAGGAAGGCATGCCTGTGTAGCTTGCAACCTTAGGACCCTGAATGCACAGTCCTAACCGTGCGCTCTGGAGTTCTATCAAAGCTTCATTAAAAAGAAAACCCAGCATAAAGAGAAACTGTGGGGTGCCAAGACCACAGGCAGATGCCTAGAGCCAGAGGATGCAGCAAGTCCCTGCCTGCCACAGGCAGGGCCGCCTTGGAGGCCGAGGCCACCAACAGCCAGGCACCTGTTTGATTTGCTGTTCTCTCCCTGGTGCCCGCTGCCCCTCTGCACTGCTAGCATCCAGTGGCTGGGCTGGGCTTGGCCCCCAGCCCTGAGGACAAGTTCCTACCCTGTGGCTAATGTCGCCTGGGGATTTAACCACTTCGTGGGATTGAGAATGATCAGCAATGTCAGCAAGAACCCCATACCAGGTCAATGGGCAGCACCTACAGGGATGAGCTGGGTCTGGAGAGCTGGGAGGGGCCTGGTGGGAGGTCTGAGGGATGAAGATGGACAGACATCAATTGATGGCCTGGAACCAGCCATGCCTGAAGACTTCTTTCAGTCGTGGTGAATGTGTCCTCCTTCCTTCTCCCCTCCTTCCCTCCCTTCCTCTCACCCTTACCCTGTGTCTTCCTTTTTCCCTTTTCTTTTAGAAATGTTTGGTTTATTTTTATGTGTTCGTGTGCTTTGCCTGCATGTGCAACCATGTGTGCAACGCCTGAGGAGGCCAGAAGAGGGTGCTGGGTCCCCTGGAACTGGAGTTACAGATGATTGTTAGCAACCGTGGGTACTGGGAACTGAACCTGGGTCCTCCGCATGAGCAGTCAGCGCTCTTTACCACTGAGCCAGCTCTCTAGTCCTATTTTTTTTTTTGAGACAGGGTCTCCCTGTAGCCCTGGCTGGCCTGGAACTCACCATGTAGACCAGGGTGGCCTTGATCTCACAGGTCAAGGCGCGCACCACTGTGACTGGCTTCCTTTTTCTGTGTTTGAGTGTTTTTCAGTGTTAGGACAGAACCCGGGGCCCCATACATGGTAAGCAAATACTTTACTGCTAAACTGTACCCCATTTGTTTTTGCCTCTGGGTAGTTTCATTTTTCCTCTCATGACTTTCAGAGCTGTAGTAAGCAAAGACAGCTAGGAAAGAACTTCCTGGAAGCAGGGGGGTGGCAGGCAGCCTGGATAACCACCACCCTCTCCCACCCCTGCCCCACCTCAGTCCTCAAAAAAGCAGGGACAAGTGTGCCCAGAAACCCCCTGGGTCCTGCCTTCCAGTAGACGGTAAGGCCTCATACATACCCTAAAAGCCCTGCCTAGGGCAGACATGCTGGGAAATGGGAAACCTGGGGGTCTCAGAACATCCTTGACAATGAAGCCTGGTTGGCCTCGTCCCCTATTGCAGACAGGCTCTCCAGCTGTGGTTGTCTGCCCAGGCTGGCCCCCGGGGATGAGTCCTAGTGACAGTCCTTCAAACAGCAGAGGCCCACTGGGAGCTGCTGCACACAGACCCTCAGCAGCTGGGCCTCTGGCAGGATCAGCCCTGGATGGGTTTCCTGTGCCCGTGACCTCAGGACCCATGTTCCCTTCTCTTCAGGAGGACTGATGGAAAAGCTGTGTCCAGGCCCAGCCCCTGTGTGGAGCCCAGGGCTGTGAGTGTGGCCCAGTGGGTGAGGAAACTTCCCCTAGGCCTGGGGGGTGGTGGGGGGCTTCTTTCTCACACACAGTAACCTAGATGGGCCCAAAGGAGGAAGTCCTAGATCAAGCTGTACCTGAAGCTGCAGTCTAACCTGGTTAATAAGCCTCCTCTGTATGAGGCTCTGTATGAGGGACTCTCCCCTACATTTCAAATAACCTCAGGCACAGCCTGCACAGCTATACCGCAAATGGAGAACACAAACTAGCATGTACTTTCATGGTCATTCTTTGCCTAAAAAACTCCTATACATTCTTCAAAATCCAACCTAAGTAGCCCCACCTCCAAAACCTTCCCTGAGACCCTCCTTTTGTCTCATTCCAAGTCTTCCTTTGAAAGTCAGTTCTCCACATGGGCCAGGGTACAGGGGCTACCAACTCAAAGACCAAGTTCCCGGCCATACCTCTCTTCTGGTGCGCATCCTGGGAACCGCTTGTGAAGGGTTCTGCCTGGGTGGGTGCCATTGTGCTCTGGTGCAGGGCGGAGTCAGAGTTAGTCCTGGGGACAGAGAGACAGTGACACTCACAGACTAAGGGGCAGTCCTGACCCACCCACACCAGACAGGGCCTCAGCCCGCACAGGACACAACAGCCTGTATGGGTCGTTCTACCAGCTGTGTGTCCCTAAGTTAGTAATCTGACCTCTCTGCTCAGTGTGATTATGAGTGAAGTGGATGTGAAAACAGCACAGGGCGTAAAGTTGTTTGTTTCTTGAGCAGTCTCATGCAGCCCAGGCTGGCCTCAAACTATGTAGCCCAAGCTGACCTTGAACTTTTGTTCCTTCTGCCTCAACCTCCTGAGTGTACACCATGCCCAGTTTTCTTTAGTTTAGTTTAACTTTTCTTGCTCCTTTGGGAGCAAGTGTGAGTGCCATAGCATGGATGTGGACGTCAGGACAACCATGGGCACCAGCTCTCACCTTCCCCCTTCTTTGTCACAGAATCTCTCTGTTGTTTGCTGCTGGGTGCACCAGGCTACCTGACCCACAACCTTCCAGGGTTCTCCTCCTCCACATTCCATCTTGCTGTAGTAGTTCTGAGATTAGAGATGCATGCTACTTGGTCTGACTTTGTATAGTTCCTGGGGATCTGAACTCAGATCCTCCTGCCTGTATAACAAACTCTTTACAAAGTGAACCAACTCCCCAGCCCCCTATACCTAGTTTTATGGGGTGCTATGCTGGAATCTAGGACTTTGTACATGCTATGTGAACACTCTACCAACTAAGTTGCAAGCACTCTAGAACTGAGCTGCAAGCACTCTAGTTATAGCCCAAGTCAACCAGTTGTGACAATTGGGACACAGCCTGAGGTCTAAGAGATGTTTGATGGGTATTTAACCATGTTAGCTGGGGATGGTGCCACACATGTCCAGTCCTAGCTACAATGGAGACTAAGGCAGGAGGATTACTTAAGCCCAGGAGTCTGAGGCCTACTTGGGCAACACAGTAAGACACTACATAAAAAGAAATTGGGCCTGTGAGATGGCTTAGTGGGCAAAGTCACTTGCCACCAAGTTTGTTGACCCAAATTTGATCTGCAGGACCCACACGGTGGGAGGAGAAAACTGAGTTCTGCAAGTTGTCCTATGCGTGCCCCCCCTAGGTCAACAAATAAACATAGTGGAAAGCATGGAATCCAGATGTGATGATACTCACCTTTAATCCCAATACACTTAGGAGCCTGAGGCAGGCAGATCTCTGTGAGTTCAAAGCTAGCCTGGCCCACATAGCAAGTTCCAGGCCAGCCAGGAATACAGTAAGACACTATATCAAAATAAAGTACCTGGGGGTGTAGCTCAATGGGTAGAGTACTTGACTAGCATGCACAAGGCCTTGGGCTCCATCCCCAGCCCTACATAAACTAGGCAATGCCTGCCATCTCAGCACTCAAGAGCTGAGACAGGATGATCAGGAGTTCGAGGTCACCCTCTACCATACTGAGAGTTTGAAGGTAGTCTAGGCTACCTGAGATTCTGTTTCATATTTTTTAAAAAGAGCAGAATATGTTATTAAATATGATACAATTATCCCAGCACTCGGGAGGCAGAGGCAGGCGGATCTCTGTGAGTTCGAGGCCAGCCTGATCTACATAGTGAGTTCCAGGACAGCTGGGGCTACAGGGAGACCCTGTCTCAGAAAGACCAAAGAACAAAACAAAACAAAGCAAAGACACAATTGCATATGGACATCTATTGTTGGGACTGCATGGGGGACTGCGTCCATATAAACCCAAACCCCCACACTCAAGTCTCTCTGACACCCTGGCTCATACCCTGTTTAGAGATTCTGCACATCCTATAGGGGTAAGCAGCCTCCGGACCTGGGGTATGATATACATCCCACATGCATAGTCCTTCTATTGCTTTTAAAATTGTATGTACGTATGCACGTACGTGGCTCCAGCTGGACTACAACTCACTACAACCAGTGAGCCCTGTAGTAGAGCTGGCCTTTCAGGCTGGACTCAAACCCATAGAAACCTGCTGGCTTCTGCCTCCCAAGTGCGGGGATTAAAGGCGTGCACCACCCTGTCTGGTAAATATTAACAAATCCAATTTTCAATAGTTTATTTTTCTTTATTTTTATTTTACATGTGTGCGTGTATTGCATTCTTGTGTGCAAGTGCACCTATGTTGTGCAATGCCTGTGGACAGAAGAGGGTGTCGGATCTCCTGGAATTGGAATTACGGACAGTTGTTAGCAGACATGTAGGTGCTGGGATTTGAACCAGGGTCTTCTGCAAGAATAGTCAGTGCTCTTAACCACTGAGCCATCTCTCCAGCCCCCCATAGTTTAATTTTTTGAAATGAAGGGGATAATGTCAGAGTCCTGGTGTGTAAGAGGTAGCTGCTCACCACACAGCCACAGCTCAGATAGCAAGGACTGCCTAGCAGTGTGGCAGGCCTTTGGTTCCAGCTACCAAGGAGGCCAAGGCAGGAGGATCCCTTGAGATCGGGAGTTTGCAGCCAGCCTGGCCACCAGAGTGAGACCCTAGCTCCTAAAAGAACAAAATACATAAAAAATTCTAACAGCAAGATACAACACTGATTATCCAGTTCTAGAAAGAAAAGAAAGACACACAGAAGAAAAAGAGGGAGGGACAGAAGGAAGAGGAGGAGGAGAAAGAAGAGGCAAAGGAAGAAGAGTAGGAAGAGGAAGAAGAGGAAAGGGAGGAGGGAGGGGAGGAGGGTGGGGAGGAGGGG